ACCTCTTGCGGTCTCGATTCTCGGTTTTCGACCTCAACGGTCTCGATTTTCGATTTTTGACCTCAGCGGTCTCGATTCTCGGTTTTCGACCTCCTGCGGTCTCGATGCTCGATTTTCGACCTCTACGGTCTCGACTCTCGATTTTCGACCTCATGCGGTCTCGATGCTCGATTTTCGACCTCTACGGTCTCGACTCTCAGTTTTCGACCTCAACAGTCTCGATTTTCGGTTTTTGACCTCAGCGGTCTCGATTCTCAGTTTTCGACCTCAACGGTCTCGACTCTCGGTTTTCGACCTCAGTGGTCTCGGCTCTCGGTTTTCGACCTCAATGGTCTCTCGATTCTCGATTTTCGACCTTATTGGCAAATCTTTCGGTTCTCGACCCCGATATCAGATCATTCAGTTTTTGACCTCCGTGGTTTTTTGGTTTTCGATCTTGAGATCTCAGAGCTCATTTGGAGGATATTTCAGTGGTTATTCAATGGTTATTCGACTTTCGATGCTCGATCTTAGTGGTAAGCTGAAGAAAACAACTCGAAGAGGCATTTCACTCTTGAATCGAGTTATGCTTACTCGACCAGAGTGGGGGGGACTAGATGATATAGGATATTATACTGGACCTGGTTTAATGGATAAAGCGGATACATTTTGGAAGATAAGCCCACTAAGACGTCCAAGCCCGACATTATGGGCCAAGCTCATATTGAGCCTACAAAGGTACACTCCCCCTATAAAAGGGGGGCCAAGGTACCTCATTCACACATTATTCTCTCCTCATTCATTTACTACACACTTTATCTCTCTCTTGATCTGAGCACTGACTTAAGCATCGGAGGCCCGACGCCGGGGCCACCCCCGGCGTTGGGTTCTGCAGGTACGGAGGCCGGTTCGAGTTGAAGGAGCCCGGGTGAATCTTATTCACTTCAATGTTCATATTTACTTGTTGTTGTATCAGTGCTTGTATAACGCTAGATAGTGAATATATTAGTGCTTGACATGTCCATATCTACAATGTTGCGATTTTAGTTGGTTGTGGTTGCATATTTAGTTCTTATTAGTTGCATATTTAGTTGGTTGAGTTTGCATTTCTAGTTTATATGAGTTGCATATTTAGTTGGTTTTAATTTATTTCATTTTTGTGTTATTGTAAGACAGATATTCTTGAAGTATGCCTCGCGTTAAGAGTACTAAGCGTAAAAGAACTAACCAAGATGTTGATGATATTCTCTTGCTTACTGATGGCGAAGAAGGTCAGGCGGATGTTAATAATCCCTTCCCAAAAGTGATAACTCGGTCTTCTCCGAAGATCCTAGTGGATGCTATCAAATCTTTTAACCAACAACAGCGAATAGTTGTTGAGCAGATGGGTTTTGGATGTCTGTTTCATCTCCAAATCAAGGAATTTCCGACTCAGTTGGTGCACTGGTTGTTGTCAAATTTTGATCCTGTTAGTTGCCAGCTTGATCTTGGGAAAGGTAGAGGTATTCATGTGTCGTCTGTGGATGTTCTGCGTGTTCTAGGCTTTTCCCAATGGTGATAAGCCTATTGAGAAGAAAAAAAAAATCTGAGGAGTGTGATTTGTTGGATAGATGGAGGGGTCAATTTGTTGAGAAGAAAATTACCCCTGACATTTTATGCAAGAAAATGATGGAGTGTGTTAATGGAGATGAGTGGTTCAAGTTACATTTTCTTGCTCTTGTGGATTGTCTGATTGTGGGTACAAACCAGTGTGGATATGTGAATCCTCTTTTTTTCAAGTCTATTTCTGATTTGTCAACTGTATTTGAGTTGAAGTGGTGCAACTACATCATCCAGAACCTTATATCAAAGAGTGATCATTGGCACCAGAGTAATAAGAAGTCTCAGTTTAATGGTCCTGTTCTTTTTCTTGTGGTAAGTATTCATCTCTATATTATTTCTTATAAATTTGTTTAGATTGTTATTCTTTGATATTTTTATTTATTTATTTGTCAAAATGCAGGTTTTATATGTTGATCGTGTAGTTATTTATGAACGAGATGTTCTTCCAAGAAGTGTGCCTTCGTTTGTTGGATGGAATTGTGAGATTCTCCGTCGACGATGCTCTAAAGAAATTAAGGTTGGTGGTTTTGGCCGGGGATTTGTTGATGAACCGAAGGAGATTCCGCCTTTGCAGTTCAAGAGACCTAAATTAAAGGATGTTTGTGATGATCCTGTACAGGTTTGTTATTCCTTTTTTTGTTTTTTGTTGCATATGTAGTTGATATGAGTTGCATAAGTAGTTGATAGGAGTTGCATATGTAGTTCATATGAGTTTCATTATTAGTTGATATGAGTTGCATATTTAGTTGATACGAGTTGCATATTTAGTTGTTGGGAGTTGCATATTTAGTTGATATCAGTTGCATATGTAGTTAATAAAAGTTGCATATTCGTTATGGTTAATGCTTAGTTCATCTGTTGTGGATGTTTAGTTCTTATGTGTTGCATATGTACACCTATTGTGATGCATATTTAGTTAATTTTGAATGCTTATGTGCTTATAATTGTCCATTTTTTATATCTTGTCTATTTAACAGGTGTACAGATCAAAACTCCTTTAGCAAAGTTGCCTGTTTGGCCACTGATGTTGTTGATGTGATTTCGTTGCTTCAAGATGCACCTGGGGAGGTGGCAAATGATGGGGATTACATGAAAATTCATGAAGCAACCAAGAATCTCATTTCTTCCCATCTTAACAATCCTGAATCTTCGCAAAGACCTTCTACAGTTGATTATGAAGACAGTGAGGAAATGAATGCTTTCTGGAATAATCCAGAAACTATTGCAGTAATCGAGAAGGTTGAGCGTGCCATTGAAAAGAGAGCTCAATATCAGAAGACAAAGGCTGATATTCCAAGTTTTTCTTTGGGAATGGGGTTGTCCCAAGACAGTGACAGGAGTTGGGAGGATGTTCTAAATATTTCTAAGCAATTTTCCGAAGATCCAAATGTTGATGATATTCAAGGTGGAAGCACAATTCCT